TATGGCTTCATTGAATCCTAGAAAATGGATAATTCATCCTGAGTCTATTGGCCTTCAATCTGAAGGCTCCCAAGTCACACAATGAAATAAATGTGTGTTCATTTGTTAGCATGGCTTTTGTTATAGAAGTGAGTGCTGTACCCCTTCGGAGGGTTGAGGGAAGTGATCATCCCTACCTCCCTACAAGGCAGTGATATAATCTTTTAGACCTGTTTGCTCTCTGGTTCCCAGGTTCTTTCCCAGCTCTAATGTGCAGCAGAAGGGGTCTGAACCCACTCACTGCATTTCCAAGCTCATGACATTTCCAGTTAGATTCAGCCAACAGGAGGCTGTGGTGGGAGATTGGACAGCATACATAAAGGAGAGTCCAGGGTATTTCTTATCAATGCTCTCTGCCTCTGAGGCTATAGGTCCTTCTACACAGTTCCATTATAGTTCCCAGGGGGACCGCTGTCCCCCCGGGGCCAGGAACTCTGCCTCTCTTCTGACCTAAGAATGGCAGAGGTTTCCTGCTGCTCCGATTTTTGAGATTGTTTCACTATTCCTCTTTTGAGTGTCTTAGATTCCCCATCACCCATGAGAACAATTTCCTATAAGAAATTCTCCCTCATTTATTTATTTATTTTTTGTATTTCAGTACTAGGGATAAAACCTAGAGTCCCACACATGCTGGGCAAGCAGTCCACACTGAACTGTAACCCCAGCCCTTTCATTATCTAAATGTGTTCTATTTTTCTATGTGGAACCTGGTTGATCATTATCACCATCTCTATTTTATATAAAAKGAAACCAGAGCAATGCCAAGTTAACTGAATTTCCCCAAGGTCATACAACCAGTAAGTGGCAGAACAAGGCTTCAAACAGTCAGCAGGCCCCATGGACCTCACTATCATTGAACGTTGGAGATGGTCTCCACTCTACGCCAGGAAGACGCTATGTATATCACCAGTTGTCAATTGATCTCAGGACTCACTTACATTCTAAACAAATTATTAAAAACTCCACATTTCTTTTGTTTCATTTATTTATTTTTGATACTAGGAATTAAACTCAAGAGCACTTATCCACTGAGCTATATCCCCAGCCCCCCCACACACACTTTTTATTGATTTAAAAAAAAAATAAAAAGGGCTAGGGATATGGTTCAAGTGGTAGTGCGCTCGCCTGTCATGCATGCTGCCTGGGTTCGATCCTCAGTACCACATACAAATAAAGATGTTGTGTCCGCCGAAAACTAAAAAAATAAATAAATAAATAAAAAATTCTCTCTCTTTAAAAAAAATAAATAAAAATAAATGATAGCAGAATGCATTACAAGTCTTATTACATGTATACAGCACAATTTTTCATGTCTCTGGTTGTATCTCCTTACGTTGCTTAGGACCTTGCTCAGTTGCTATGTTTGATCTTGAACTTGTGATCCTCCTGCCTCAGTATCCCAAGTCACTGGGATGATAGTCATGTGCCACTGTGCCCGGCTTCCTTTCCTTTTTTCCTAAGTGGCCCAAGAAAACTTTTGGGTGTGATAAGAATTTCTGCATCTTGCTTGCAATAATAGGTTCACAGTGTTTGTCAAAATGTTAAATCATTTAATTTAAATGGATATATTTTATTTATATCTCAATAAGGTTGATTTAAAAATAAATTAAGTGATCCTGAGGTAAAAGTGTGTCCTGTGAATTTAGGGAGTAGCAAGATGAGGGGTGAGGGGAATACAGGTTACTTATGGTCTTATGGGCCTTGGTAAGGACTTGGCTTTTAGTTCTAAAGGAGATCAGAATCCACTGGGGRGTCTTGAATGGAAGGATCTGACTCACTTTGTTGCAGGAGTTGCATGATCAGTCTAGTGCTTGACTCAGTAAACAGTAAAGATTTCTTTGCTTTTCTAAGGCAACAGAGGGAAAATAGAGAAGCAGGCTGCTTCATGAAACATGAAACAATATCACCACCTAGTGGAAAAAATCTTGATTGTTATATAAGCAAAACCTTAAAAATCTACTTCACAAAATATGTGAAACTACCTTTTAAGTGATTGTATTTCCCACAGAATAAAATAAATTTAGCGGTAATTTAGGACTTTTTATCTGAAGTTATTGTAAGTTAAAACAAAGTGATACAGTTTGCAAGCTTGCTTTATTTACTTATTGGTTGGGCTAGGGAACCAACTCTGTATGTTAAGAGAGTGCTCTATTACTGAGCAATAGTCCCAACCCTATCATTCTAATTTTTAAAAATCTTTTTTAGTTGTAGATGGACACAGTATCTTTATTTTATTTATTTATTTTTATGTGGTGCCGAGGATTGAACCCAGTGCTTGAGCAACAACCGCAGCCCCTTATCATTCTATTTTAAGAGAACCTAGGTCCAACTCCCTGCTGGAATATTGAATTAATGGTAATGATCGAATATCATTAATTAAAATAAAATTATTAAATAACTAGCTATATCAAATAAGAACGGGGGGAAAAACCCAAAACTTCAGCTGCCATTTATTAAACAGGCTGTACTTTTTTAAATATTTATTTGTTAGTTGTAGTTGGACACAATAYCTTTATTTTATTTATTTATATGATGTATTGAGGATTGAACCCAGGGCCTCCCACGTGCTAGGTGAACACTCTACCACTGAGCCACAATTCCCAGCCCCCAGGCTGTACTTTTGAAAAGATTTTTTTGGTTCTTTTTAGTTATATATGATAGTAAAATTCATCTTGATATAATTGTTCAAGCATGGAATATATGTTATTCTAGGGCTGGGGTTGTGGGTCAGTGGTGGAGTGCTTGCCTAGCATGTGAGGCACCGGGTTCCATTCTCATCACTGTATAAAAAAATAAATAAAGATATCATGTCCATCTACAACTAAAAATGTTTAAAAATATATATCATTCTACTTAGGACCCCATTCTTATGAATRTCCATAATGGTGGGATTCACTAAGGCATATTCATATAAGTACATGGGAAAATAATTTTGGATTCATTCCACTGTCTTTCGTTTTCCTATCCCCCAACCCTTCCCTTCATTCCCCTTTATCTAATCTACTCAATATCTATTCTTCCCCTCTCCCGCCTTATTGTGGATTAGCTTTCCTATATCAGCAAAAACATATGACCTTAGATTTTGGGGGACTGGCTTATTTCCCTTAGCATGATAGTCTCCAGGTCCATCCATTTACTTGCAAAAGCCATAAAGTCATTCTTCTTTATGGCTGAGTAATATTCTATACACCACATTTTCCCAATCATAACAGGTTGTACTTTACATGAATTTCAGAATAAGGAAGTGCAGTTAAAAAAAATAGGCAAACTGCCTTAGATCACAAAGCTCTGAGGGCAGAGCTGGGATTCCAGCCAAGCCTGGCTAATGAAAATGTAAGATTTACTTATACTGCACTACTTCTAGCTGTAGAGAATGTTTCCTATTTAATAGTGCATCTGTAATGGTTGATTATCTTCCTAATAATATATGCTCATGAAGCAATCACCTTCCTATTCAGCATGTTGCTTTATCATTTTTCTTATGTGTTCTTATATTTTAAAAGAGTAGGTTGCCAGGCAAAGTGGCACGTGACAGCTATACCAGAGAGACTGAGGCAGGAGGGTTTCAAATTCGAGGTCAGCAATAGCAACTTGGCTAGACCCTAACTCAAAATAAAAAATAAGAAGGAAGTCATAAAGAAGAATGAAATTATGTCATTCACTGGATGGAACTATAGAACATCATGCTAAGTAAAATAAATCAAACTCAGAAGGTCAGGATCCATATGTTTTTTATGATTTGAAGATGAGGTGCCCTCAAAAGCTCATTCATGAGACAATGAAAGAATGTTTGTCCCACTCAGTCAAAAGTCAAAGGTAGACCTGGGTAGGACTCTCTGGAAACCTCCCTGGGACTCCCAATAAAACTGGAGGGCAAGAGGGGCACTCTGGCCTTCTGAGAAGACCCAATGTCTCCATTGAGAAGGTCCCTTTTTCTATCCCCTTCTAACAAACTTATGCCTGCTACTCTAAGCCACATGTCTGAAATCTGTGTGTCATGATTTAAGAGCTGGTGAAGGGACCTCTGTGCGGCCTCAGTTTTGCAGCAGGCCCTTGCCCCCAAACACAGGTATGGATATGGCGTAATGAATCCCACTATTATGTATAGTCATAATGCTTAAATAAAACACATAATAAAAAAGTGCTRGGGATGCAGCTCAGTGGTAGAGCACCACTGGGTTCAATCCCCAGTGTTGGAGGCAGGGTGAGCAGAATGAGAAGGTTAATGAAGAAGTAATAAACCAAATTTTCCACTACCAACTGAAGCATCTCACAGACCTGAGACTCCCTATTTTAGTATTTTCATATTATCTGAAGAGCTGAAACAAACGAATGGGTAGACTAGTCCAAGCCCCYGTCTCCCAGGTAGGATGGTCGCCGGGCACAAACACGTGAGATGCCCAGTCTGATTCTAATCAGCTGATTCTCGGTGGTGCATCCTTTGCACAAAACCCCGCAAGATGCTTTTAGAGCCATGCTACACTAAGCTGGAATCAGACTTTGCCATCTCCTGTCTTTGCCACCACGGGCAAAGGCCCTGTTTCCTCGTTCGCAGAAAACAGGATGACCATGCCCCACCTCGCAGGGTCGTCCTAAAGGGGTTAATGAAATCGTATGTGCAAGGACTGGGAACACGGGCGGGGAATAAAGGACTGGGGCGGAGTGGGGCGGGGTAGGGCGGGGAAGGACTGGGTAGGGTTCTGTCAGGCCCCGCCGGGTCTCAGCTCTGCTCCGCGAACTTCCACGCAGCAGGCCCGCAGGCAGCCGATTTGCTTTCTGGCGGTCAAGACTCTGTAGAAAGACCCGGCCTCCTAGGGGTGGCGCGCCCTGATGCTTTGGGATCTTCCCGCGCACTGCGGCGCGCTCCGCCCCGGAAACACGTCTCCAGCGCCTTGGCGCGCTTTTGAAATAGTGTATATTTCGTGTCCGTTTGGCCGGCTTCTGCTGCYTGAGTGTCTGGTTCTTGCCCGTCGCACCCGCCCCCGCGACCCTGGTGCTCGGCATCCCCCTCGCCGCGCCGCGATGAGGACACGCGAGGAGGTAGACGCGACGCTGCAGGTCGCCAAGCTGAACGCCGCCGAGCTGCTGCCCACCGTGCACTGCCTGAGCTTCGGCCTGGGGGCCAGCGGCGCGGCCGCCGGCGACTTCTGCCTGCTGGAACTGGAGCCCGCRCTGTGCCAGCAGCTGGAGGCCGGACACAGGTGAGCCGGGGGCTGGGGTCCCAGGACGCCCCGCGGAGCCCGCCTGCTGCCAGCCGCCTTCTGGTTTTTTTTCACCTGGAAATTCAGGTGGAGCAATCAGGGCCAGAGAAATGCCAGCGGCGCACAGCCAGCTGGTGGCCTGATATCCTGCGTGCCGCCAACTCCCGAGAAGGATCCCCAGCCCCTGCATGGCCCTGCAGTTAGCTGGACTGAGCTGATAAATAGGATGGGTTCAGCCGAACCAGGAGGCCTGTGTCAGTGGAATTGTCGGCAACTAGAACCCCACTAAAAATTTGAAGACATTAACAGTGATGCCAGGGACTCCACAGGACACTTTGTCATTCTACTTTGTTGTTGTTCTTGTTAGGTACAAACGACAGTAGAATGCATTTTGACACACCATACGTAGATGGAGTAAAACTTACCATTTTTGTGGTTGTACATGATGTGGAGTTACACTGCTCTTGAATTCATATATGAACATAGGAAAGTCATGTTTGATTCATTCTGTTGCCGTTCTACTTTAAAGTACAATGATAATATCTGATCTTTACAGACGTCTTGTTTCCCACATATATTACTTTTACTCAAAAGATGGATAGGACCTTTAGGGAATAAGTTAAAAGCCTTAATTATGGGGGGGCTGGGGTTGTGGCTCAGCAGTAGAGCGCGAGGCCCTGGGTTCCATTCTCAGCATCACATAAAAAAATAAATAAATAAAGGTATTATAATTAAAAAAAAAAAAGCCTTAATTATGACTTGGTAATTGAGCTAGGGCCCCARACAGACTTGTTTGGGGTCATTTAATGGGGACTTAAAGCTATTTCTAATTCTAGGTCAGCTGCAAATTTGCTGCCAACCTCTTGGATTAAAAAACATAGTCAGGTATTGAGAGTGTTGCTCTGTGGTACAGTSCTTGATTAGATTAGCATGCAGAGGCCTTGGGTTTGCTCCCAGTACAAACAACAACAACAACAAAAAATAGAAGTTGGTAGTTGTGAAGGCAGCCTTGAGAAATCTAGAGAATCCTTCAATCAGTTGCTTGTCAACTTGGTGCAGTCCCAACTCYTGCAAATTGATTTTCTTTTGTGTCATTCTTATTCCAACCTACATATTTGTAGGTTCCTTTTAGTTGGGCCCTTTGGGCTGYGTTTCAATCTTCATATCTGACTCTTTCAAACAGTGTTCTAGTCAATTGACCAGTCTTTGGTATTAATCAGAGTACCCTTAAGAGAACTGAAAAGCTTCCCTTATGAGTGTCCATCTGAGTTAAYGGAGATCAAAAAGACTTCAGGTATGAGAACCTTCTCTTTTCTGGCTAAGCTCACAAACTTGTGCATTTTATTGGGGATAGTGCAATGTAGAAACAAACATTAAAGGGTAGACATTTGGGCTTATTAACTATTAGCAATAGGAATCTAAGAAACATTCTTTTCACTTAACTGACGGCTTAGTTACAAAGACAATTGCAGTCTTCTATTTTAGATTTGTAATTATTTGTTTAAAAGAAGTGAGTTGTGCACAGGAGAGTTTAATGTTCCATACACAAGGAAAACTTGGAGAATCAACTCTGTCATCATCTGGTCTTTCCTCTTCCTCCTCTTCACCTTCATCCTTATCTTTTTGCTTTTCTTCACCTGTGATAAATTCCCTTTCTCAGAGTCTTTCATTTGTATAYATATCCTTGTCCTATTTTTCATTCAGCCTCACAGTCTTCTTTTCACAAGGCCGAGATATCTTTGCCGCATAGCTAATGGTTAGGCTAGGATGTGCTCCTTTGATTGCTCAGAACAAAACACCGAAAACATTTGAGTGGGCATCAAAGCAGTAGTGTGCTTATCCTAGGTAGCTTTATAGAAATAGAGTCTTAGGTCCCATCCCAGACCTACTATATCCCAATTTGCTTTATAACCAGATTCCTATGCACATGTTTCATAAGCACAACTTTAGCCTGTTTTAGAAAGTTGTGAGACATCGACTAAAGCCTCTAGATACTTGTGGTCTTCCCAGTAGCTTGCACAAAGATGCCTTTGGGTGACATTTGGCCTCATGGCCTCTTTAGGTCTTTCTTGCCCATATTTAGTTATTGTTTTCCTTAGTGAGGCACCAGGCGCCTGTCTGGCTCTCACTTGGTCCAGTATTTGCTCTTTGGAATCCATGATTGTACCACAAGGCTGGACAYAGCATCAAGGCTTAATTTTAAATTCTGCAAGCCAGAACATTCGGGAAGTGAGTTTAAAATGAAGATGTCCACTGGAGTCCACTGGAGTCTCAATAAACCATGTTTTCATATATATATATATTTTGTTGATAGACTTTTTTTGTTTTTTTATTTATATGCAGTGCTGAGAATAGGACCCAGTGCCTCACCCATGCTAGGCAAGTGCTCTACCACTAAGCCACAACCCCAGCCCTAAACCTTGTATTTTCCCTCTGTTTTCCTGCAGTCTTGTGATTCGGGGAGATAAAGATGAACAAGCTGTGCTGTGCAGTAAAGACAAAACATATGACTTGAAAATAGCAGATACTTCAAATATGTTGCTTTTTATTCCTGGCTGTAAAACTCCAGACCAGCTGAAGATGGAGGAAACACAGTGTAACATTATTCACACTGAGGTACTGTTTTCTCTCCCCTCATTTATGTAAGTCTGAGGTTGATAACACAGGTGCCAATCTTGCCTTTTATTAAAACTTTTGGCATAAAATGTATAATCGTGGGGAATTGCAGAAGTTGTGTTATGAAATTTGTTTCTACTTTTTCATTTATTTTGGTACTGGGGATTTAACTCAAGGGCATTTTACCATTGAACTATATATATACCCAGCCCTTATTTTGAAACTGAGTCTCACTAAATTGCTGAAGTTGGCCTCAAGCTTGCCATCCTCCTGCCAAGGCCAGGTCGCTGGGATTACAGGTGTGCAACATCTTGCTTAGCCCTCTATAATGAAATTCAAAAGTTTTTCAGCATTATTATTATTATTATTATTATTTTGTTTGAAGTATTGTGAACTTGTCTTTAGTTTCTCAACTTAATTCTTTCTTTCTTTTTTTTCTTTCTTTCTTTTTTTTTTCTTTTGTGGTACTGGGGTTTGAACTGAGGGCTTCATGCATGCCTGGCAAGTGCTCTCCACTGAGCCACATTCCCCAGCCACTAATTTGATTTTAAGTCTCAAATCGATCTTTTTTCTGATGTGATGACTTTGCTATTAGGTGACTCATTCAAAAAGTTTGACCTAATTTCATTGAATTTTGTTGTGGATGTGTTTTGAAAAGAAACTCCCTCAAGTCATAACTAGTGTATATGGAAGTAGTTACAAGGGAGAAAAGGGGAGAAAATGAATTTTTGAATGAAGTGTGCTTTAAGTGTGGTTTAGTTCATTAATATCTGCAGCCAAGTATAACAAATTTTTAATTATTTTGGAGAATACTAATGGTAGTTACCAAACGAAAGTCTCCATCCTGTCTAGGTCATTACACATGTAACAATCAAAGCATAGCTCTTAATTCTTTCAGGATGACTTTAGGCCAACTATTTTCTTAAAAATAGAACTGGAGAGGAAAAAAGGGAAAATGCTGGGAAGCTTTGGTGATTCATGTGATGTTACTGGAATAGAGGAATTTCCAGTAAAATTTTTATTTTGGTTTCTGTCGGGTTACAAATCTTTCACTGTAACTAACTAGATATATTAATAGTTCATTCTTTTGTAAAAGATGTTATATTTTTCATCACTAACTTGGTTGGTTGGTGTTTTTGTGAGAACATAATAATATCTACAAGTATCTTTGAGCTTTTATTTGTTGTGGGAATTCTGGTTGATGAGACTGGGTAGAACTTAAAGATCCACTAACCAAAGCCATAATCCATGGTAGCTCTTCCCAGCAGAGAAATGCCTAAGAGGACTAAATGAGAATGCACATCAGCAAGGCTGGGGTTGACAAATGGTAGTAGATACCCAGGAGTAGCAAGTAGTGTTTGGGTCTGTGGCAAATTGGACACCATAAGCCCTAAGTAGGTGGATGGCCATTATTCAGTTGACTTGTAGGTAAGCAGGCCCAGCATTGTGATTTTCTTTTTTCCARTTATGCTTGAAATTTAGGTTTTGGGGATAAAATCCTATTTTTTTTTTTTTTTTTTTGGCAACTAATTTAAACATAAGGCCAAACCTGATTCCTCTCCTGTACCACACGAAACCATATGCCCACATCTGTGCCTTGGAGATAGTCAGATAGCTGCCACTTTGAACTACGGATAGATAGACTCCATCTTTTTTGTTTGGCACCAACCTCTTCTTTTGAAGGCCTTAGATTCAGTAGCATCTCCTTCAGGCTGTAGCCTCATCTTGTCAGTCAAGCCTTTTCCTATTTTGAGAATAGAAGCATCCCCTGTCCTTCCATCTCAGAGTTTCAAGGCATCCTGGAGATAATCCAGTTTAGCTTTTTCTCCTTTCATGTAAACACTTATTGGGCATCCAGTGCTCGGCTATCCTGAAAATGTAGAGGGAAATAACATATTCATCCATCATCTAGCCTCTGTGACCTGGATTTCTTCAAGTGATAGACCTCTGTCACAAGTCCATGCCTCAGTCTGGCTGGTCACAAAATAACGGAGCCACCACGAGGCACTTATAGGTTCAAACAGGCACTCTCCCAAACTCTCCCGAACTCTCCCAAACGCCACCCAAGTGGCCCTTCCCACCACACCAACCGGAACTCCCTCCCCCAGAACTTCCTTCACCCTCCACTGGGCTCCGCTAGAACTACTCCACCTACTCCACCGAGAACTCAAGGGGACTCAATGGGAATTCAACRGGCGTAGGCAGSAGGAGCCGCCCTATTGCCGGACAGCAGGGGYCCATATACAACTGAATACACAGCCTGTTTCAATCCAGCGTCATCCAGTCACAGCAATTATACATAGCTTAACTTAATTATCATCTTAATGGCTCCCTGGCTTCACCTCTCAATCACTCCTTCTGGTAATATGCCAGGCGCCATTCAGACTCTGCTGTAGCTCTCAACAAGTCCAGCAATCAAATTAGCTGTAATTCGAAATAGTAGAAATTTTTGCACTGAACAAAAGCCTCCCCAAACTGATCAAGATAGAAGGAGGGTACCTTCTTTTCCTTTTAATATTCCTTCATTATTTGATGACTGAGATAATGTTTCTATTTTCTATTTTTCAGACTATATGTTTTCATAACTATGTTTTTCATAACCATGTTCATTTTCAGTTTACTTCTACCAGATTTGCAGAATTGTGACCATTCTGCTCATTCTATTCTGGGCAGACTTTAGTTTCTAAGACTATTCTTTTTAAAAACATTTTTTAGTTGTAGATGGATACAATACATTTATTTATCTATCTTTATGTGGTGCTGAGGATCGAACCCAGGGCCTTACACATGCTAGGTAAGCGCTCTACCACTGAGCCACAACCCCAGCCCTTCTAAGACTATTATTGAGATGTGATGCTCAGTTATTGATTCTCACTTTGTYGGCAGCATTTTCTGAATTGGACATTGAGAAAAGATGTTTGTTAAAGATATCTATCCATCTACTTGATGCAACTGGATGGGTATCTTCCTGATAAAAAGTAGAATACTTTGGTTCCTTTTTCTTTGGTTTTGGTCAGGAAAGATGGATTAGTTGGAATTTCTTATGAACTCTCTTTTAGAATGGACCCTAAGAGGTTATGATATGATTTCTAGATCTTTGGTTTTTCTAATAACTATTGGGAATTGAGAAGATGCAGACCTAAATTAAAGAAGCTAAAGAAACTTCTAATGGAAAATACCTATGAAGGACCTGACAGTCAAAAAGAAGAGGATTCAAATCGCTCAAAAGTAAGACTCCTGTTTTCATTCTTGATTTGAAATTTAGAAAACTTTTATAAGGTGCACTTCATGGTGAAATTCTTACTTTTTAAAGGTTATGAAAATTTTAAACTCATTCTGATGGGCTTAAAATGGTAACTTTTCAAGGGCCATGCCACTCTGACCATACCTGAACTTTTATGATCTTGGAAGCTAAGTAGGGTTGGGCCTGGTCAGCTCTCGAATGGGAGAACACATGGGAATACTGGGTGTTGTAGGCTTAAARTGTACATATATATATGTAAATAAATAAATGGTATCTCATGTGGTTTTGAAGTACATTTCCCTGATGACTAATGATATTCAGCACATTTTCATGATTTTATTTAATTTGTATATCATTGGAGAAATATATCTACTTACTTTCTTTGCCTGTGTTTTAATTATTTGTCTTTTATTTATGAACCCTTATCATATATATCATATGCAAATATTTTCTCCCATTTGGCAGGTTGTTCTTTTAATTTCTTGATGTATTTTTATTGTGATAAAATAGATACAACATAACACTTACCATTTTAATGACTTTAAAATATAAATTCAGTAGCACTAAGTACATTCATGTTGGTGTGCAAATTAAGCACCATTTTTCTCTAGAACTTTATCATCTTCCTAATGGAGGATGTTGGGAAGATGAAACTTTGTATTCATTAAACAATGGATTTCCCAATGGATTCCTCCCTCTCCCTGAGCAATARCAGCCACATTCTACTGTCTGTCTCTGAATTTAAGTACTCTTAATACATCATATGGATGTGGAATCATATAATATTTGTTCTTTTGCATTGTTAGTGTTTTTTAAAAAATATTTTTTAGTTGTAGATAGTCACAATAACTTTATTTTGTTTATTTATTTTTATGTGGTGCTGAGGATCAAACCCAGTGCCTCACACATGTGAGGCAAGCGCTCTACTGATGAGCCACAACCCACAACTCTTGATAGTGCTTTGATACAAAAATTCATCATTTCAGTGAAGTCTGGGGATGTAGCTCAGTGGTAGAGTGCTTGCCTGGCATGCATGAGGCCCTGGGTTCAATCTCCAGCAAGACAAAAAAAGAAAGAAACTATTACCAATTTCAGTGACATGAACATTTACCTCTGTTTTCTGCTGTCTATTGATTTTGTATTATAAGCATTATTTATTAATAAAAGAAACTGGACTAGTCCATAAATATTGCTTTAATCTGTTCTATGTATTTATTTCCGAAAATTCAACAAGGAATCTAAAATATTATTCTTCAAAGCACTAAAATGTTTTTGTTTGTTTCAGTATACCACTGAAGATTTGCTTGATCGAATTCAGGCAAGTGAAGAAGAAATAATGACCCAGTTAGAAGTTTTAAATGCCTGTGAGATTGGAGGTAACATTTTTTATTTTTATCATTTTTAAAGATAGATTTGGGTATGAATCGAGAAGTTTTTGGACAGCTTCACCCTGTTGCATGCTTGCTTATTTGTTTGTTTGTTTGTTTATTTATTTATTTATTTATTCTGGTACCAGGGATTGAACCCAGGAGAGCTTAACAACTGAGCCACATCCCCAGCCCTTTTTATGTTTTATTTTGAGACAGGGTCTTGCYAAGTTGCTTAGGGCTTCACTAAGTTACTGAGGCTGGCTTTAAACATGTGATCCTCCTGCCTCAGCCTCTTGAATTGCTGAGATTACAAGTGTGAGCTACTGAGCCTKGCTATTTATTTATTTTTTTGAGACAAAGTCTCACTAAGTTGCTAAGACTGGCCTTGAACTTGATATTCTCCTTCCTCAGCCTCCCAAGTAGCTGGGGTTAAATGTGTGCACCATTTCTCCTGGCTTATTTAATCTTTTGCGTTCAGATATGATAATATTAGTGACTGGGGATGTTGCTGTGTGGTMGAATGTTTGGCTAGCACGTATGAGGCGCTGTGTTTGCAACCCTAGTACCACCAAAAACTAAAAAATGAAGAAGAGGAAGAAAATAGGATGGTATTTGTCTTTTTGGGTATGGGAGAGTCTATGTGTGATCATCATACAGAAGGTTACCAGTGACTTTAACCATTCCTTGTAGCCTTTTTCTTTAGGTTAAGTGGTAATAGAAGAACCATGTTTGATTGAGAAAGCGTTTGATATATCAGGCAGTCTATTACTTTTTTTTAATAGGTAAGGAAACTAAGGCCTAGGACAAAGTTTAAAAAACRACCTTGTCCAGGGCTACATGTTGAAAGATAGGATATGGCAAAGAATCCTGTATTTGAATTCCTAGTTCAAAATTAATTTAATAATCTCATTGTATTTACAAATTGCTTGGAGATGGGGCTGTGTTTCTTCTTTAATGTATTTCTAAGCATGTATTTATCATTTAAGCCTATATAAAAGATACAGGAGGGCTTGATGGAGAAACCGTGCAATACCTTATCGGAGMTTCTTTTCAGCACATGGATCTGTGGTGATCCTCAGTAGATGTTTGCATGCATTCTCTTTTTTTAATTTTTAAATTATTTTTATTATTGCCAAGAGAAGCAGCTTAATTCTGTCCCCATGTGTTATGGATGAGGAAATCAGCATGCATTGGTAGATACATGATTCAATTTGCTTATAATCTTCCAATCAAGATTAACTTTTGTGAGACTGTACCCCTCAATGTGGCAAATTTTGTTGAGTAAAGCAACTTCACACAATTTAGGATTAACTGGTACCACTTAGCCCTTTGTTGTGGTTTCTTGAGACTCATTCTGTCTAGAGCGTCTAAAACAGTTTTTAATTAAGTATACTTGCTGCTAATTAGTATGGTGTATGGATGCCTTGAATGTTAGTTTTAAATGGTGGGGGGTGGTGGCAAACCAAACCATTTATTCTTTTTTTTTTTTTTTGGTACTAGGAATTGAACCCAGAGAGGATTTACCACTGAGTCACATCCCCAGCCCTTTTCATTTTTTATTTTGGAATGAGTTTCAGTAAGTTGCTTAGGGCATTGCTAAGTTGCTGAGGCTGTCTTTGAACTTGTGATCCTCCTACTTCAGCTTCCAAAATCTCTGGGATTACAGGGGTGTGGTACCGCACCCAGCTATAAACCATGTATCTTCTGAAGCCCTCTACATTATTCACTGATTGCATGGGAATGGATAAAATTTTGCTAGAGGGATACATAGATTACTCCTAGCTCTCTCCTCTAGTTTTACATCACACAATCCATTTTTTAATGTTGSTTTTATTTTTTCAGTATAGAAATAGAAACCTTTTCTCTTGGAAATGGTGGACGTGTGCTCAGTTTCTTTTTCCAGGGCTGGTGGTTGTGTTATCAATTATAATATGGCATTTTATATTCTTGCACAGTTACAGGGATAATATATCTCAGTGTCCAATGTTTATTTTCYTTTGCCCATACTGTATCAGAGTCTGCCATATCTCAATTGAGCTAAACATTTTTATGAATGTGAGAATATCACTGCAAAATAGCCRTGACCGGGGAATTATAACCTGGCAATGCTGCACAGCAGAGATTACCCTGTAGATTACCCTGGAATCTGTGACCCTCGCTTCATTTATTTGAAAATGTTTGCTAATGAAATGGCTATACCAGCTGCAGATTTCCTTACTTTCACAGAACAAGAAAATTATTGTGAGATAATAGAATATTAAATATCTTGGGGGCTGGGGGTTGTGGCTCAGTGGTAGAGTGCTCACCTAGCATGCACGAGGCACTGGGTTCGATCCTCAGCACCACATAAATGTAAAATAAAGATATTGTGTCCATCTAAAACTAAAAAATAAATATTAAAAAAAAGAATATAAAACATCTTGAAGAAACCCAGTGTTGGTCATATAAAAAATACTATTTAAAAATCGGTTGATCTTCCCCAGGACAGAATTTTAAATGATTGAGAGGACTAGTGGTATAGCAAAATGGTAGAGTTCTTAGCGTGTATGGAGTCCTGAGTTTAATCCCCACCACCACAAAACCTGGGAGAAAAGCATTAAAAAAAAAAAAAAAATTGTTTAAAGAAAATAAGACTTTTAGTGCCTTTTTTTCTTTTTTTTGAGCTTTTTTTTTTTTTTTTTTGCAATGGGCAAGAGAATGCTGCTGTATTAACAATCTGTTAGCTAATTAATTCACTTAATGTTTAATTCGTTTAAATGTTCTTTGSTAAATATAACTTTTGGAATTTTTAGGTTATTGGAGGATTCTTGACTTTGACTATGAGATGAAACTTCTGAATCATATAACTCAGCTGGTGGATTCTGAATCTTGGTCTTTTAGTAAAGTTCCTTTGAACATATGCCTTCAGGAACTTGGACCATTGGAACCAGGGTAAGTATTTTAATTACTTGTCCCTCCAGATTTCTTTAAGGGGAAGGAAATTCTTTTCCAGAGGAAAACTAAATCCAGGGGAYAGAGTATTTGTATTTCAATATAAAAATAATTTAAATATAGAACTAAAAAGGATTTAGGAAATTTGGTAACTGGCTGAATAAATTTACATCATGTTTTCTCCTTTCTATTTTGTTTTTATCATAAAAWTTTTCTATTTATTATTTATTTAAAATTTTTCATTTTTAAAAGGTAATGTTATGAAATGAAAAYTATGCCTCCATCAAGTATTGGGAATTCTAAAAGGAATTGTTATGTTTGAGCTATTTTACAGTCATAAAATTGTGCTCACATAATTCATGTAAAAATGTATTAGCCTGGGGCTTGGCATGTAGCAGCTTCCCAGTATATTTTATTTAGTTCCCAATTTAAATAAAGTCTTATTTGGCATCCAAATAATTTAGTATCTCAAATCTCAAATTTTTATCTTAGTTTCTAATTASCAATAGGGTTTAAAATACAGTGTATAAAAATGTTGGTAATTTGTCAAAGATTGTTTTAAATTTTTCAGGGAAATGATAGAACACTGTCTTAAATGTTATGGGAAGAAATATACAGAAGAAGGTAAGTTTTTAAAGTATTTTAATGGGTATTTTAACTTTTGTATGTTAAAATTGGTATACCTTTCTAAAGCATGCTGGTGTTAAAAATAATAGTGGSACTGTGGGAGGTGAGTGGAGGTGTATAATTCTTTCCTAGAAGTAGTATAGATGAAAAGAAAACATTAGTGCTACATTTAATTGTAAGTGGATAATTTGAAACTATCTTTTMCTTAGGTGAAGTTTATTTTGATTTGAGTGCTGATAAAATATGCAGAGCAACAGCACAAATGTTACTTCAGAATGCAGTGAAATTCAATCTGGCTGAGTTTCAAGAAGTGTGGCAACAGAGTGTTCCTGAAGGAATGATAACTAGGCTTGATCAGCTCAAGGTAATATCAGTCAAAGTTACTACATGATTCAATAGKTGATTACTTACTAGGGGAGATAATATTTGTCTTGGATCTGAATTTGGAGCTGATTTATTTTCCTAGACACCAAGGGGATTATAATGCCCGTTGAATTCATCGCAGAGTCCTTTTAGAATTCCCAATACTTGATGGAGGCATAATTTTCATTTCATAACATTACCTTTTAAAAATGACTTTAAGGATTGGGGAGCTAGCTCAATGGAAGAGCTTGTGTTAGCACTCACAAAGCCTTGAGTTTGATCCTCACCAAAAATAAATGAATCAACTAAAATGATTTTTAGTGACTTGACAGTTATATAGCTATCACCACAATCCAGTATTAGAACACTTCCATCACCTCCTTAATATCCCTTGGGCCCATTCATAGATAATCTCTTTTCCTACCCAGTGTGTCTCATTTTATTCCATTTCTCTCCATTTCCATCACAACTGTCCTAGTCCAAACTACCAGGGTCTCCTGCATCTGTAATAGAATCCCTCAGCAGGCTCCTGCACTTCTCATTTTCCCCATCTTCAGTCCCTTCCTGTGGTACTACTAGAATGAATTTTGTCTATGTATGGTGCTGGAATTCCAACCCAGGCCACTGAGCATGCTAATCTAGTGCTCTGCCATTGAACCATATCCCCAGGCCCTAGAATGATCTTTTAAAATTGCTAGTGAGATTAGATGAATGTCTGGCTTAAATCATTTTAATGATTGCCCATTGCACTTAAGATGTAAAATACAGACTTTGTATCTCGGCCTATAGGCTCCCTTTTTTAAAAAATACTTTTTTTAGTTGTAGACGGACACAATGTCTTTATTTTATTTATTTTTATGGAGTGCTGAGGATCGAACCCCATGCCTCTYACAACCCCATGCCTCATGCGTGCGAGGCAAGCACTCTACCACTGAGCCACAACCCCAGCCYCTAGGCCCTTTTTGATCTGCCCAAAGCTTTATGTGTTTGCTTTCTCTCTGGCTTACCACATAACAGCCTTCTTGAAGGTTTAAAGATCATTAAACTCTTATCTTACATTAGGACCTTCATATAAGGCTTTTGTTCTAGAATGATATTCACTCTAATTCCACCTGACCAACTCTTACTTATTTCTTTCTAAAAAAAATGCCTCCCATTTCCTCCTTCTGTAGTGCCCTGTAGTTTTTCCTTCATGACACTTACCCCTTAACTTTGGAAAAGTGTTTAATTACATAGTTTCTCACTGTCTGCTTTGATAGCATTTTGTTTATTGTTGCTTGCCCATATGGGGCATTCTGCCTGGGATGTAGTATATTTAATAAGTATTTGGAAAGTAAACGAAAGAATTCATTCCATATTTACAAAGTTCCTCTTATGTCTAGGTACCAAACTAGATGCTAACCACCATACAGGTGCTAAGAGCTGGCTTGGGAATTGGCAATGGTGGGGTGCACATTTCATGAGTAAATCTGTTCTTACAAATAGTGATTGTTGCCACCGAAAACGCATGCACAGAATGTATGAGAGCAAAGAAAAGGAGTTTATCAATCAGATGATTGTTAGAAGTAATAGATGCTTTACTTGCTGGGTATGGAAGGATGAACTTTTTCTTTCTAGGTAGGAAGGGCAGAGACAGGTACCAAGAGAGTATTTTCAAAAGGTATAGAAGTATAAAAATTGGGGTACCAGGCTGGGGATGTGGCTCAAGTGGTAGTGCGCTTGCCTGGCATGAGCAGGGCGCTGGGTTTGATCCTCAGCACCAYATAAAAATAAAATAAAGATGTTGTGTCCACCGAAAAACTAAAAATAAATATTAAAAAATTCTCTCTGTCTCTCTCTCTTTAAAAAAAAATTGAGGTACTGTTAGTATGGATAGTGGCTAAGTGAAGGGTGCTGGCGAGATAGTTAGGGACACTATGGATTGTGCAAAAAACCCTTCAATTCTAAAGATCTGGGGCCATTCAGTGACATTGGTTAGAAGAGTTGCCTCATCAAGTGCTTATCAGATTTGCCTTTTGGAAAGAATATAAGTTGAGTGTCCTTACCTGAAAAGCTTGGGACCAGAACTATTTCAGATTTCAGGATTTTTCAGATTTTGGAATATTTGCATAAATTYTTCAGGTTGAGCATCTCTAATCCAAAATCCCAAATGCTCCCAAATCCAAAATTTGAAACTTTTTGAACATTTTTGATTAGAGATGTTCATCCTGTACTATAACAATAAAGAAGTTAGATGGATGGAAGTTTGGATAGATTATGAAAAAGAACATTCCAGGCTTTCTGCACTTAAATACTCCTGTTTAAAAGAGTGTTGGCCAAAGAAATAGGCAATAGGGAATGGATAGAGAAATCTTGAGGCTCTAAATCTACAGGATTTGTTAACCACTTAGGTTTGGGGTTTGAACAATAAAATCTACGATGATACCTAGGTTTCCTATTTTCCTAGCATACTGGGTCTWTAGCAGAATGGGATGATAAACAACATGAATTCATCTGTAAATTTGGATATAGAAGTCTGGGTCTCAGAAAGACATTGGAGTGGGAGATACAAATGTTAGTCATTAGCAGGTAATGCCGGGCCACAGGTTAATATGAGGTTACCCAGAAGAGTGACAGTGAAAGAGGTAATGGGGTCAGGATAGAGGCCCAGGGAACTACTATATCAAGTAATGCAGAAMATAAGAGAGTGATGTCAGTGATGACTCTTTTATCTACTCAATGATGACTCCTTTATCTATAAAGATAAAGGAGTAGATAAAGGAGTCATCAACATTAACAAGAAGCAGTGGGTCAGTAAGATGAATTCAGGAAAAGAGCCCACTGGATTATACAAGGACAGGTCATTGGTGACCTTAATAACTAAAGCTGTCTTGGGCTAGGGATGTAGCTCAATGGTATGGTACTTGGCTAGCATGAACAAGGCCCTGRGTTTGATCCTCAGCACTATTAAAAAGAAAAAATAACTAAAGTTACTTTAATAAATTGGTGGTAGTAGAAGCTGGAATACAAGGAGAAGAGGTGACTGCTTAAAGGAACTCTTTTCATGAAAAAGACTATTATAAATCCCTGGATGGTTCRTGTAAGTTTCATGTAGCTGACTTTTTTAATACTATGGGCTAAGCTAAATCTAGTGGTAAAAGAATGAGTCATGTTTGAATATTAGATCATTACTTTAACTGCCATTTTTTGTTGTTGTTGTTGTCATTTCTTATAGGGTTTAGCACTGGTGGATAGACACTCAAGACCAGAAATCATATTTTTGCTGAAAGTAGATGATTTACCAGAGGGAAATCAGGAACGTTTTAATAGTCTATTTTCTCTAAGGGAGAAGTGGACAGAAGAAGACATTGCTCCATATATCCGGTAAGTAATTTATGAAAAGTGGATTTTGAGGGTCGTTCTTTTTACAAAGAGTGGCATAGCATTTTAGATTTATTACCAGGACTGTTATTTTGCATTCCCTGAGAACACTGCTTCCCTCCACACTTGCTCAGGTAGTCTCCATGATGACTGGTCCTGGAGGTGGCRTATGTGTTAGCTTTGTTCCTTACAACTCCTAGAACACTTCTGCTCTCCTTCCTACAAAATTACAGTTCTTTGAGGGACAGAATATATACCTCACTAAAACTCTAATCACCTCTCTTTGCCACCTATTTATTGCCTTACTTTTTAACATTTTGGTAGAAGCCAAACTGCAGCAGAATGTGTTAACCCTGAGTCACTGTTTAGAGGATCTCAAGGCACCGACACTTGAGATCCACTAACACTATGGCTTCATCCCTGTGTGTCACACCTAATAGATCATCTCTCTTCTGTTTACCCAGCTTAGATTCTGTGGCCAGTGTCTCTAACGTCTGCTATTTATACTTTCTTACTGTGCCCTCTCTTCCTCATACGGCTCTGGTAAAAATCTACAAAGATTTAATACAACTTTCTGCTTATTCCATACCTATACCTGGGCAGCCAAAATTTCTCAGAGAGAACATAATGGGGCTGTCACTTTCGGTTAAAAATGTGAGTAGAGTAGCTGGGATCGTAGCTCAGTGTGGTAGGGCGCTTGCCTAGCATGTGTATCGCCCTGGATTGGATCCTCAGCACTGCATGTAAATAAATAAATTAAATAAAGGTTCATCGACAACTGAAAAAAAAAAAAAAAAAGGAATGTAAGTGAAACTGGATGCAGTGGCACATGCCTATAATCCCAGCAATTTGGGAGACTGAGCCAGGAGGATTGTAAGTTCAAGGGCAGCTTCAGCAACTCAGTGAGRTCCTAAGAAACTTAACAAGACCCTGTCTCAAAATAATAAATAAGGGATGGGTGGCTCAGTGGTAAAATTGCCCCTGGGTTTCATCCCTGGTCCCCCTCCATCTACCTCCAAAAATGTAAGAGGAATTTACCAAAGCCCCTGGCTAGGCACCATTTCTTCATTGAAATTGTTCTATTGTTGGAACTTCAATTACATCTTTTTCTATCTCTACACACCAGCAATATCTCCTGTTTCTTCTTTGTCCTCAGCTTAGGACCTTCTTTATTTTACAATTTTTATTTTTTCATGGTATTGGGGACGGAATCCAGTGGTACTCTATCACTGAACTACGTCCCCAACCTATTTTTATTTTTTGAGACAGGCTCTCTGCAAGTTGTTCAGCTTGGCCTCAAACTTGCTGTTCTCCTGTCTCAGCCTCTCAAGTTGCTGGGATCATAGATGTATGCCATTGTGCCTAGTTTATGCTTATGACATTATTTCTTGAAGACATCAGAGCAATTAGACAGAACCACCTGTTTTAATCAGTTTTTTTTTTTTTTTTTTTTTTTTTGCTGAGGTAACTAAAAGATCTAACCAGAACAATTGTAAAGGAGAAAAAGGTTTTTTAAGGGCTCACAGTTTCAGAGGTCTCTTTTTTTTTTTTTTTTTTTTTATTGGTTGTTCAAAACATTACAAAGATTGCAGAATCACATCGGTTAAACATCCACATTTTTACATAATGCCATATAAG